GAAGAAAGAAAAAGAAACAGAGAAGAATAAATGTGTACATGTCCGTGTGCGTGTACGTGTGTGTGTGTTTTTTTTTTTTCCTTTACTTTTATCAGCGCATTACAATAAACACATTCTATTTTCTCCCCTTTATTCCGTGCCAATATTAATCTGAGATTATTCCATTATCCAACCCTATCCCTCTCTCTGTTTATCCGATCTCACCTTTTCCCCGATCGCTTCTTTCCTAATTACGATTTTCTTATCCTAATTTCCTCCCTTACCTCCCCCCCCCCACATCCTATCATCCTATCCTTGCGACATAAAGATCCAACTTATCCATCTCTATCCCTTAAACCTTTCCTATCCAACCATGTCCATTTCCTATCCTTTTCATCTCGTATATCCACCCTATCTTCAGGCCATATCCAACCGTATCCAACTGTCTATATCCCATTTTTATCTGACCATCCTTCCTTCCACCCAAACATATCCATCCTTATCTATATAAATCACAAATACTTATTCTTTTCACTCGCTCTACACACATACACACACACACACACACACACACACACACACACACACACACACACACACACACACACACACACACACACACCTACATCCACGCACAATCACGCCCATCTAAACACACACCCATGGACTCAATCACCCACACCCATGCACACCCACAACCACCCACAATCATCCACCCACACCCACATTCACAACCATCCGCAACCACTCTCACGCCCACAATCATCCATACACACACCCATGCACACCCACAACCACAACCACCCACACACCCGCGCACAAAACCACCCACAACTACCCACAACCACCCACAGCCACACCCACAACCGCGAGGCAGCCAACCAGCCTACTTCGTGGGCGTCACAAAGGGATTGAGGCGTAAGCCTACTGAACTATCGATTCCCCGCTTAAATTGCCGCCTTACGTGTGCCCGTTGACGAAAAACAACAAAAGGCAGGTGTGGTATTGTGGCTGCGTACGAAGCGGGCGGGGAGGGGAGGGGGGAGGCAGAGGGGGGTGGGGAGAGGGCAGGAAGGAGAGGGGGAGGGAGGGTAGGGTGGGAGAGCAGGAGGGAGAGAGGGCGGGAGGGAGGGTGGGAGGGAGGGCGGGAGAGAGGGAGGGAGGGATGAGGGAGGGGCAGGAGAGGGGAGGGGAGGAGAGAGGTGGAGGGTTGGGGAGGGTGGGGACAGGAGAGAGGTGGGAGGGAGGGCAGGTTGAGGGTCGGGAGAGGGGGCAGGAGGCAGGTGGGAGGGAGGGAAGTGGCGGGGTATATGGGAGGAGAGAGGGAGGAGTGAGGAGAGAGGAGGGAGGAGGGAGGAGGAAGGAGGAAGGAGGAAGGAGGAACGAGAGAGGTGGGAGGAGGGAGCAGGAGGAGGGGGAGAGAAGAGGGTAGAAAGCAGGAAGGAGGAGGAAGAGGAAGAGTAAAAGGAAGACCAGCCTAAGAGGAGGAGAGACGAAGAGGAAAAAAAAAAGAGGAGAGGAAGGAAATCAAAGAAGAAAAAGAAGAAGAGGAGAGGAGAAGAGAAGAGGAAAAGGAGACGAAGAGACAAAGAGGGAGAAAATAATCGCAAGAATAGTGTCCTTTAAAATGATTCCCTTCGTCTCAAGGTCAGTTAGGAAAAGATAAGGAAATGTATGGGGTATCAGGCGTCCGTGTGTGCGTGTGCGTGTGCGTGTACGTGTGCGTGTACGTGTGCGTGTACGTGTGCGTGTGCGTGTGCGTGCGTGCGTGCGTGTGTGTGTGTGTGTGTGTGTGTGTATGTGTGTGTGTGTGTGTGTGTGTGTGTGTGTGTGTGTGTGTGTGTGTGTGCGCGCTTGCGTGCGTGTGTGCGTGCGTGCGTGTGTGTGTGTGCAAATACGATAACGATATATATAACAACCCGCACACACACACACACACACACACACACACACACACACACACACACACACATATATATATATATATATATATATATATATATATATATATACATAAATAAATTTAAAAATGCGATAAAGATATATATAACAACCCACACACACACCAAAAACAAATATATATATATATTCACAAATAAAAAAAAAAAAAAAACACATAGAAAAATTGAAAACATTTATATATATATATACACTTTATACAACAGACCATATGGACCGGAAAATCAATATATCAACTATAACAATTATCCTCGAGCATAGCATATAGTGTCGGGGTGAGGGGGGGAGGGGAGGACGAGAGGAGGTGAGGGGGGGGGGGGTAAGAGAGGAGGGAGGGGAAGGGGGGGGAGGGTTATCTAGTACAGATGTCAAGTTCCATAAATAGATCGTGTAGCAACGGGATGGGAAAGGATAATAGATTTGGTGATGATGAAGGAATATGAAAAAAAATGTATGTATATATTAATAACAGTGGTAATGGTAGTTGTTCTGGTGACTAATGATGATTATCATAATGGTATTGATAACGGATAATAATGATGATGATGATGATGATGATGAT